TGTGCGCACCGCGCACGAAGTGGCAAGTGCGGAGTACCGGGCCCCCCTTGTGTGGCCCAGTCACGAGCGTGGTCGCTGCAGGGCTTGTGTGTACGTTTCCGTGCGTGTGTCCGCGCATGGATGTGGTTTCCGTGTACGTAAGTGTGTGTGTGTGTGTGTGTATATATGTGTGCGTGGGGCCTGTGTCCTCTCAAAGGACCCATCCGAGACAGAGGAAGGGGGTCTGGCACCATAAACATTCCCCGCTGTTTGTTTTGCCGGCGTAATTTCACCCGCCGTCTCCTACAGGGAGACCTGAGCTCTTGGTCGACACTGTCGACAAGGAGATCGGAAGAGCACACGTTGTGTCCTCTCAAAGGACCCATCCGAGACAGAGGAAGGGGGTCTGGCACCATAAACATTCCCCGCTGTTTGTTTTGCCGGCGTAATTTCACCCGCCGTCTCCTACAGGGAGACCTGAGCTCTTGGTCGACACTGTCGACAAGGGCTGGCGGACGGCCGCCTGACACAGGCCCACCCTTTCGGCGCCTTCATTTGGGCATCCTGTCACGCCCTCAAGCGAGCTCGGCAGGCTGCCTGCCCGGATGTGGCCCGGCCCGGGCGAGGCCCGAGCAGGGGTACCCCGGGCCCGGCAACAAAGCTGTCCCGCCCGGTACCCACATACCTCCCTCATTCTCGGTCTCTCTCTCGCTCTCTCTCGCTCTCTCTAGGTGCTTTCAGGCCGCGCCCCGACCCCTCCCCCAGCCCCCTCCCCCAGCCCCCTCCCCAGCCCCCGGGCCGAGGCCATCCATGCGCGTTGGCCCTGGGCGCGCTCGCGAACGAGGCGCGGCGCACAAGTTGGGGCGAACGCAACCCCGGCCTAGCAATCTGACGAGCTCGACGTTGGGCCCGGCCGCACGCGCGACACACTCTGCCCCCGCCCCGTGCCGGCGCCCGAGCCGGGTGCATATGTGTTTTTCGCGGACGGCCGCAGACCGGGCCGCCCGGGTGTGGCCGACTCCCCCCCTCGGCCGGACGTGCGTCCTCGCGCGCACACGTTCGCCGGTGCATGGGCGTGCCCGCGCGAGTGAACGTGCGGCCGTGCGCGTGCCTCTGATCGCGAACAGGATATCTCAAAAATCCTGATAACCCTGCCCCCTTCGAATACCGTCTGCCAAATGCCCAGCACTGCGTGCCCACCCTTGCTGCCCCGGCGGCGGGGGCGGAGGTTGCACATGTACGCCCCGGGGGCGCGCCCGCGCGCGCGCGCGCGCGCGCGCGTGGGGCACACAACGTGGCTGCGCCCCGGACACTCTCCGGCGGTTGGCGCGTCGCCCCACGCCGCCGTCCTCACCCCCGCCAGCCCCCGGGCAAGGGGGCCAGCGGACGGATTGCTCCCTCGGGACCGAGGCCGCCTTTCTTCCCCCCCCCCCCCCCCAGCAGCCTGGCTTCCAAGGGGAGCAATCGCCCTGATCAAGGCCCATTTTGAGGCGTGTTCTCGCGAGCCTACTTTCCGCCCTTGGGAGAGCGCCAGGTGGACGCCCCACCTGGTCGCGGCCCCGCAGAGCGATCTGCCACGTTGAAAATGGCCACCCACCGGGCGGCCAGCGCCCGCCGGGAACGTGGCCCGCCGCCAGGCCCCCCCGCCCCCCCGGAGATCCCCCCCCCCCCCCCCCCCCCCACCCCCCCCCCCCCCCCACCCCCCCCGCCCCCCCCGCCTGCGCCCTCCGCTCGGGCCCCCGCCCCCCCCCCCCCGCCCGGCCGGCCGGAGATCTCCCCTTCTGCCCTAGTTGTTGTCTCCCCGGCCTCTGGCGCAGACCGGCGTGCTGCGCCCGTCCCTTCGGGCAAACGTGGGGCCTTCTCGGCCGGGGCGGTCCCTCCACCGGTCGCGTCCGACTCTAGTGGGTGTTGATCGCAATGTGTGCCGACCGGCGCCGCCCCCGGGCCGGGCTCCCGCTCGCAGCCCCTTTGCAACCTGTTTCAAATCACCCGCCGCCCGGTGGGCCCTTCACGACCAGGGCAGGCAGACACTCCGCTCGAAGGCCGAGCCCCAAGCCGAATGGGCGCCGTTCGGGCACTCGGCCGGCTGCCTGCACGATGCCGCGCTTTTCTCTTGTCCCCCC